AGAGAGAGAGAGAGAGAGAGAGAGAGAGAGAGAGAGAGAGAGAGAGAGAGAGAGAGAGAGAGAGAGAGAGAGAGAGAGGCAGAGTGAGTAAAGTCGGAGAGAGAGAGAAGAGGGGAGAAGCCATATCCACTATCTGGTGGAGATCCGTTGTGCGTGTGTGTGCAGCAGAGCCACTGGAGACAAACATTCTTGTATATTGATAATAATATTGGAGACGACATCTTCAAGTGTTGATTGTATCTTGATTTGGCTTCTCACGTGTGAACTCTCATGTGATGTTCATTGATGTATGCGAGGCCGAACTTAACGAGTACTTGGCTCATTTCACATCGAGTGTGACTAGACAAACTGTTGCATACTTGTGAGTACTTCAACAAGTATGGGCAGAACCAAGAGATCAACCAATATAGGATGAGCATGTATGCAGCAGAAGTCTGATAAATGGACTGACTCACATAGACTGACTCACACAGATATCACTCCACACACAAACAATCGTGAGATGGTGGGGTCTGAGCCAATCATAGACGATGCTCAGGCCCGGTACACACATACACAGATGAAAGGTGGGAGGAGAGACGAAGGAGGTGGGAGATGCAGGCAGCGCCAGATGTCACCGAGATAGAATCCAGTAGGTCACGGATATGGTAGTCCAAAATGTCATCGAACAAGATCAAAATGTCGTGGACAATAAGTCACCAATGTCGGAGGTACAGAGTCCTAATGTGCCGAGTATCAACCCCAACAATCTCCAAGTCTTGAATCCGGTAAGTACCACAGCCTCTTACCACCGAAGTCCAACACTGATCTCTGTCCAACTAGTATCTAGTCTCCAATCTGAAGAAGAAGAAGAAGAAGAAGTCTGAAGAAGAAGAAGAAGAAGAAGAAGAAGAAGAAGAAGAAGAAGAAGAAGAAGAAGAAGAAGAAGAAGAAGAGGAGAACAGAGGGGGAGAGAGGTGAGGAGGAGGGGACCCAGGGACCGTGGAGGGAGGAGAAGACCTCACTCCCGAGTACCTGGCCTGTTGCAACTGACTGCAGCCGAAGTCGGCTATGGCTGCCCGCTGCCTGGCTCCTCGCTCGCTGCTGCTGCTGCTCCTCCGCGCTGCGCTAAGAATAGCACTGGCGCTAACGCTCCTCTGCTGAACCGAAACGACTGGCGCTCTAGCAGCGTCCCAGTGCTCGATGCCTCACAATGAGGCTGGACCGGTCTTTAGTACCGGTGGAAACGAGGCCGGCCTCAATGCTGCGAGGCCTGGCCGTGACCTGAACCGTCGAGATCGTCGGTTCAGATCACACCGGCGGGGGGCAGCCTCAAGAGCGCCGCCAGGCCCAAACGGTAATGTCGTTTGGGCCTGCCCGTCGGGTCTGGTCCAAAATGCGGCCTTTCGGCCTGTTGTACCCCCAAGTCTGGGCCTTTAGGCCCTACTGTGTCCCCTTGGCCCTAAGTCGGGTCCGGTAGGACCCGTGTGGCATCGAAGATGTAACACAAACCCTGACTACCGTTTTCATCCGAATAGAACGCACGGTCATTATTTCTGCATCTGGACCGAAAAGTGCTCCCCAAATACAGCTATAATGACCGGGCGTTATATTCAGGTGAAGACAGTAGCCCTTTTCACTGCATCCTAAACCACACATATTTTAAGGGAAACATGGGTAGGGGTGAGATGCAAATCATAGTTCATGCAACTCCTTGGCATGCTACCTTTCACACTGAAGGGGATATTGCATCATGCCCTTTCCCCTGGTGGTCAGGGTGCACTGTTGGGGCTGCCGGCAGGGGTCAGCTAACACAAAGACTGAGCAAAAGGGAGGTGCAGCTACCGGCAAAACGCTATACTACTATTACAGCAAGGCAGACATTAAGTCATAAAAAGATTTGTGTTAAAAAAAAAAACTTCAAAAAAGTCATAAAAATATTTCAAATGATATTTCGAGTGGTGATTTTATTTCTATTCAACAAAATTGCAAGTCAACCGTCAACCATATTATAAGATGATGTTTATATAACCGAATTAAAACAAAAAAAACAAAAAAAAAACGGTTTAAAACTTGAATTTCTTGAAAGTAATAAAAACCTCATTTATCTCATACCTTTCTCAGGCTTTCTCGGTCTTTTGGCTAAAAATAGATAAAGTGTAGCGTCTGTTCTGATCAGTCTAATATCGCAAGTCAATTATCAAACATCGATGGCTGTTTTGTTTTATGAACCCCTTTTCTGATTTCAAATAATGCTCTGTTGCTTACTCTTTGTCCTTCCCCTCTCCCCACTCTTTCCTTCCCCTCTCCCCCCTCTTTCCTCCCCCTCCCCCTCCCCCTCCCCCTCCCCCTCCCCCCCCCCCCCCCCCCCCCCCCCCCCCCCCCCCCCCCCCCCCCCCTCCCCCTCCCCCACCTCCACTTCCTGCCTTTAAATTTGTCATTTTGTTCATGACCAGGAGCATGCCAAGGAGTTGACAAAGCTGCGCCAGGAGTTTGAGTTAAATGCCAAAGAGATGCAGCAGAAGTATGAAAAGAAGGTGCGGAAAAAAAAAAGAGCAGCGAGACTTTGGAAGTTAGGACATACTGTTATACTTGCACTTTCCTCTGCGTATGCGACCTTAGTTGTGGCAGATTCAGTCCAATTAGCACAGCTGTGACTCCCCTCTTATACACAATTTTTTTCAACACATTTCTATGTCAGATAGCAAAGCACCGCACTTCCTCCGAAGTCCTTGTCACATTCCCACCAAAACATCATACAACCCCCCTTCCCCGTCCCTTCTCTTCTCCACTTCTCCCCCCTCCCCTCCACTTCCCCCCAGTGTTTTCTGAGGTCGCAAACCTTTGCCCCACTTGAACTCAAGAGCCTCGCATATCGGTCATTGTTGTAGTAATGGTAACAACTGAGAAATGCAAATGAATAGAGGACATCAACTCTTTTTAAGTGAACTGTGAAGGAAAGAAAGAAAGCAATCGTTCCCACATAAGCATTGCTGATCATTGATGAATTCTTAGTCTGAACCAAACCACCTCAGAATCGGATAAGGGCCCAGCAGTAGACACCCAGTCGAAAAGAAATGGATTTTTTTTAATTTTTTATTTATTTATTTATTTTTAACAAGAAAAGAAAACACTGCGAGCCTTCACAGTCAACCCCAAGACGGATCACAGATCCTCAGGTTGCACCATTGGCCACAGCCTCCATGTAACGAGTGTGAGGCTGAGGGTGAGCCGAGGGAGAGGAGAGAGAGGGAGAGAGCGAGAGCACACCCACACACTCACTCACTCGACACGTCGGACTCGGACTGAGGATCGGACGCAGACACAGTGGCAAGGCACCAAGTCGAAGTCTTGGATTCCGAGTGTCGAAACAGCAAGTCACATTGAGTACGAGTACAGTAGCAGAGAACTGGTACCCGACTGGTCCCCGTACCGTACGGGGAGCCGGTATAAGTACCGGTGACACGTACGGTACCAGGGGCATTTCTGCAAAGGCCCCRAGGGCAGAACTGAAAAATGCAGTATTTGAAAGTGGC